TGGGAAGCGGGGGAGGCGCGGCAGGAGATGGGATGGCTCCTGCGGGCCTGCCTAGGTGGTTCAGGTCTTTGGAAAACTGATGGACGGGCGCCGTTGTGCGCCCGCCGGAGTCGTTAAACCCCAGTCACGGCGGGTTGGGCCGGGTGTAAGCGGTGTTGGGAAACCTCCGGACCGAAGCTGGCGGCGGGATGTGGGGAGGGATGGAGGTCAGGCAGGCGCCTTCTAGCCGGTGCTGCTGCATTTTTGTTTTTCTCTGATTTCACATCAGTGATCCCGTCCACTCGTTTCTTGTCAGAATCACAGAACAATTAGGTTGGAAAAGACCTCTGAGATCCTCGAGTGTCAGATCTTTGAGTGCAAACGCCATCGTGTCTAGACCATGGCACTGAGGGCCACGTCCAGTCCAGGGACGGCGATTCCACCACCTCCCTGGGCAGACTGTTCCAATATCTAATCTCTGAAATAATTACACCTAATGTCCAACCTAAACTTCCCCTGGCACAGCTTGAGGCCACGTCCTCTTGTCCTTTTGTCAGAGAAAAGACCGATCCCCACCTGGCTACACTCTCAGGTACCCGTAGAGAGCAGTAAGATCCTCCCCAAGCTTCCTTTTCTCCAGGCTAAACACTCCCAGCTCCCTCAGTTTCTCCTCACGAGACTTGTGTTCCAGACCCATCCCCAGCTCCAGTCCCTTCTCACTCCAGCACCTCGGTGTTCTTCCTGAATTGAGGGGCCCAGAACCAGACCCAGTCAAGCCGTGGCCTCATCAGAGCCGAGGACAGAGGTTCTCCTTGCTCACGGAGCATGCAAGGGTGTTTCAAAGCTCCCCTAGAAGCAGGAGAATGAGTTTTTTTTGACCTTGGTGGGATCCAATCGAACTTCCATCCAGTTCTTGGTTTGAGTTAGATTTAGGACCTATGACTCCCTGGGTTCTTGTCAGAATTATTAAGGAGCAATTCTTAAGTGGATGCAAGAGAAGCAGTGTGCAGGTCTTCACACCTTTTGGTAAACACTGAATAGAGCCATGATATAGCCTGAAAGGATGGCAGTAGTACTGGTCTGACAATAATAAAGCATTAAAGAAATTCAGAAAAATTACACACAGAATCACAGAATGTTTTGGGTTGTAAGGAGCCCTAAATTTCACCAAGTTCCAAACCCTCTGCCATGGTCAGGAGCACCTTCCACAAGACCAGGTTGCTCCAAGCCCCATCTGATCTGGCCATGAACACTTCCAGGCATGGGGCATCCACAACTCTTCACAACCCGTGCCAGTGCCTCGTCACCCACGTAATTGCTCATATGCATGAGCTTTGGAGATACCCATTCATTTTAATGCACTTTATTCAGATTTTTGCTTGTGTTTGTTGTACAAAACCTGTTATCTGTGTGTACAAGGGAGGTTTGGCAGATGCCCAAGGGCTGCGTGGAGTGGAGCCATCGGCCCTTAAGGTTTGACGTTGCTGGGAAACTCATCTTGGGAGAAAATAGGCCTGTGCAAACATGACTCCAGGGGAATACGGATGTTGGCTTAGTGACGCCGCTGCGTGTTGTCAGTGTACATATTTTTATTTAATTCTTCTTTTGTTTCAACAATAAAAGAGCAGAAATCAACTCGTACTCAAAATATAAAATTTCACTCAGAATTGGCTGAGGCAGCGTACTGTATGTTTTGGTTTTGTTTGCTCGTGTGCCAAAGAGTCCCCTCGCTCATCCAGATGGTTCTGACTGCAGTCCCAGATAAAGGCAGCCTGTTCATCGCTGCTGCACGGAGGGCACGGCAGTGGGTCCCAGAACACCACATCCAGTGCTTTTACTGACTGTTCTCAGTGAGGGAGGCCAGTTGCAAATCTCATGGCACATAAAGGTGTTCTTTGTAACACAGCTCCCATATTTTCCTACCGAGTAAGATTACAATGTGCATCCATACAAAGTGAAAAAAATTTTTAGAAAACACAGAAGGTAGTTTTGCCACATCTCATCAGTTTCTCCAAATATTTTGTATAATGCTGTTTCTCTTAATTTCTATTCTTTTTTACAGCAGGAACAACAGTTGCTCTATTGCCTTTTTCAAAAGATAATTGACACTGATTTTTCATTTGCCATTCCTACCATTATTACCTGTCTGATGGTCTCAAAAATTGCAAGAGCACATTTCACTGCTCAGTATATGTACTTTAGCTACTGACAGAACTGATACAGTGAAAGATTCTGATCAATGAGAAAACTATGGTTAGTCCACCCACAAAATAAAGATTTCTGATGAGATCTTCCCTTTGTTGGTAATTCCAAGGGAATACACTTATTTTTCTTTCCCACTTTTGGCATTAGTCAGCTCTTGTATTAACTTTTAATGTTTGTTGATAATTTTGTGTCATTTGTGTCTGTGAATATAAATCTGATTATTTATTTGAAAAAAAAGTGTTACCAATAAATATTAAGTCTCTGAAGGGCTACATTGTATTGGCCTCCTGATATTTATATATCCACACACAACTAATCAGCTTCAGGGGAAAGTAAAGAGCAGAGCTCTGTTTATCCTCTTCCTGAAGGTCAACAGACAAAATCAAAAGCATCCAAGGTCACACAAAGTGCATTTTCAAGGTGATTTATGCCACAGTTTATCTTGTTTCTTTATATACCTTTTTTTTTTTTTTCAGTGAACATCAGAATTGGAGGCACAAATATGTGAGAAGCTTGTCAGCGATCAAGTTAATTGTTACAGTGCCTGCTGTGCATACATAGAGCTCATCATACACTTTCTTTCTCCCTGAATTTGCATAACTTTTAAAATTATTACTATAATAAGCATTCACATTAAAAGAATGGTAGAAAATAAATTAGAAAATGCACTTGCAGTCTTAATTTCATCCCCTTTATAATGACATTTTTAATTCAGGCAGCATAACCAATGCAATTTCTTTCCTCTGGCTCCATGGCATGTTCAGCACCCAGTATGGAGTTAGATAAGACTTGTGTAGCTGATGAAGCTGGTCCCCATGTTCTTGCCAATATATATATTCAATATATAGTTCTCCTAATAATTTCTTAGTGGCTGAAAGCTATTCCCATATATACTATGTGTCTTTTCTCCCAAATGGTGAAGTGTCTTCCCTTTGCCTGTTCTACCCAGATCGTTGTTGTGTCATTAGTGAAACTGTTGTGGAGCTTCAGTGCTTGTCCTGCTCAGGCTGGAGCAGCAAAGTTGCCAGCAGGAAAAGCAAAATAGTCTGTGTAGTCTTGCACTGGGGAAAAATAATCAGATTAAACTTCCCGACTGGCTCCTTAAAAAGTAAAATAAATCCTTTTATAAGGAGTAATATTTCACTTCTCATAAACCTGTCAGCACCAGCCAGAGCTCAGACACTATATAAACATATGTACATCTTGGATTAATTACACTTGCCTTCAAATTCCGTACATGGATCATGCAAGAAAACACTAAATATTCTGATGACAGTTATTAGTGAACACAGCCTCACGTTTTCAACATCCCCCTGGTGCTGAAGCCAGTGACCAAGGTTTGTCACAGCAGCAAGTTCCAGACATTAAATACCTGTTAGATAAAAGCAGCACTTCTTTTTCTAAGCTCTGGAGCACTCTCCCCAGATTTACCAAATGCCCCCTACTCCTGGTATCGCAGGATTTGACAAATTATGTTTCTGCCTGTGTTTCATTTACTGCTTTGTGATTTTTTTAAACTTTGATCTTACCACAGCCCTCTCAAAATTAAGGTCTCACGGTCCTACCAGTGTCTCCTCCAAAAGCAGATTCCCCAGGATGATGCTTCTTTCTGTAGCTGCTCCTTTCTGAGCTGCTTTCTCTGTGTCTTTCATGAGCACTGTGTGCTGTTCTGGTCTCCTCCTCCCAAAATGTGGGCTCACCCTGGCTTTACACAGCAGAAAAATTATTCTGTCTGTTTTGTTCTCTAACACTTTTCCTTAGATTTTTTGGCTGCCACATCATTATGAACTGAATGTATCCAGTCTTCATTTTAAGATATAAAGAGATGAAAAAAATCCCACTTCCCTTGCTCTGTTTCTCCAATGGCTGACCACCCTCATTGTAAAAAACATGCTGAGTTTTGCATTTTAAGTTTTCTATGTTTAACGTTCAAATATTTTTCTGCCCACTGCTTGCTCCTGTTGCTGCAAATGTGCATAAACATCATATAAATTTGTGCATAATGTACACAAACCTTCTGAGTTTGCATTTTACCAGGAGTAATAGTAACAAACAAGTGATCCTGAGCTTAACAAGCAGGATGTGGAGATCCTTGAACACCGTGTGCAAGATGAAACTGCTTCTCCTGCCTTTCTTTGGTTCCTCCTCAGGAAAGTGCTAAACCTCAGAAACCAAACTTTGGTGCTCTAACCAGTTGGTTTGCTTGTGACAGTAAGCAAGATTTAGTATGTATTTTTGTTAACCTTTAGAGTGAATATCTTGAGTACTGTAAACTTCAACAAATCATATGGGAGTGTCTGTCAGTAGTACAAAGACAGGAGAAAAAAATCAACTTTTTTTTTTAAATAAATACAAATAAATGCTTGTATCAGCTGAAATTTTTTGCCTTTACACTACCTTTAGTCCATCAAAAATATTTTGGATAATTCTCAGAAATATACCTTGCTGCATTTGTTGATAAATGCCAAAGTATCAAGTTGGAAGAAACATCTGTATAAATGCCCAGATTTTCATTGACAGAAAACACTGATTCTGTTGGTAACAATTAAAAATTTTCAGGCAGTAGAAAACACCAGCCTTAAAATACCTGATTTTTTTTTTTAATCATTTGACCTAGGAGTTACCTAGATGTAAAAATAAATACCTCTGACTATTGTGTCATACTTGTGATGTAAAATGGCACATGTTTGAATCTAGATAAAAGTAGTATCTGTGACATAAGACGTGTGGGATGACCACGTTGTTTAAACTACCCTGAGCAACACTGTATAGCAGATGTAGAGTTTATGGTTCCCACGTCAGAGAAGCCCTGAGCAACAGCACTGCTGTGTAAACAGGGGATATTCAAATAAGGATTTAGACAAGCACTTGGTTCTCTTGTATACAAAGTGGAAGCTGTACCCGTTTTGGTTGTACTTTAGTTTCTGGCTCCAGCACTGAAAACATTACATTAAGACCTTCTCCACAGAGGTTGGTATGAATTCTGGGCAGAGTGAACTGGTGGGAACAGACTTTTGTGTGTGTCCTGTGGTAGCCAGTCACCCATTGGGTAGCCCTGATCCTACTGGAGGGCTACGTTAGGATACACAGACATTGCTACTAGATAAAAGTAGAAGGTTTTCAGATTGTTTCATTATAAGAGAAGAAAGAAAATTATCCTCTCTGTGAGTTGTTCAAAGACTAATCTGAATCCAAGCTATCAGTTGCTCTCTGTGTTTTCCAGAAGAACCTGTTCAAACACAAGTTTGTTGATGTTGAGGGGCTTGCCATACAAAGAGCTCTGAAATTTATTTCTTCCTTGAGCCTTTGCTTGCAAATCTGAAATTGTCTTTTGCTGTATGTACAAACTTGTCCCTTCCCCATCTTCTCACATTTCCACCTGACGCAGTTCAGGTTATGAGCATTTCTGTACTGGGTCCCAATCTGCTACTACTCAGACACGTATGGCTCTGTCACTGTTGCTACAGCTCCTGTTTTCACATCTTCTGTTGTCACCTTTGTAGACTGAATGGTATTAACCATTTCTCACATTTGGCATTTGGCCATTTGTCATGTATCTTCACTAGATGCATGTCAAATAACAATTGCCCTTCCCTTCACCTCCAAGGTTTACCCTATATCCTCAATCTATCCCTCACCCCATCTTGCTTGTCTCCCCTGGTGGGGCACCTCGAGCCTCCTTCCAGACTCAATTTCTCTCTCCTCTTGCAGCACCTGATCCCTTGTTGAGACAGAAGCCACAGTGCCTTTGCTCTTTGGCCATGTTTTTTGGGGTCCACCAGAAGCCATTGACACATACCACTGTTGTCAGTGTTTGTGTCCTGTCCTTTGGTGTTCACAGATCCATCCCAGGCACAGAAGTGCTGTACACAAACATTGGGCAACACCACGATGAAGGGCTCATTTTGCAGGTCAGCATGGTGCATTAAGTAATTCCAAGTGCTGAAATTGCAGTATTAAATGTAAATTGCAACAGTAAAAATTAGCTTTATCCACAAAATCCCCAAATTTTTATATTTCCCTCTGAAAACCCTTTTATTGGCTTCATTATAGCTGTTAGCACTTGTTTTAATTAAACTCATAGTGCAGCATGAAGATCAAATTAACCAGTTTCCAGAGAAAATTAGTAAGCAATTCCTGTTCTATTTTAATGTCGTTCTTCACATCCTGTGCTTTGGTGTACATTATGAAAATATTGGTAGAGGATTCTATATCTCAGGGGAGGATAATGGAGATATGAAACTTCTCACTTCTAGTCTGGTTTTCCAATTCACTTTAGGTTCTTAAGTTTTATGTAAGTACTTGATGTTTGACTGCAGCTTGGATGTCTTCATTCAAGGAAACAAGTGATCTTATCATCCAAGGCAGAGGATTATAAGGCCACCTCACCATGTCCAGATCCCTCTTTGTCAGTCTCTGCAAAAAATGATTGGTTTGTAGAGCTGAAAAATGCTTGCTGCCTTCAACTAGGACTTAAATCACGTCTGTGTAGGAAACTAATTGAATGGGTGTTCTGTGTAAAGTGCTGCTCCTGAGGGAGTTTTTGACTTTAATTCTCAAGGCTATCAGCCCAGAAGGGTTGCATTAGAAAGAGAGGAAAAGAAGAATCTGATTTTAGAGAATGCAGCAGCACTGCCTTTTGTTGCAGTTGCTTTGAAGTGTCTCTCCATTGACATCTAGTGTCCGTACAGGAAGATCTTTAGATTCCTCACAGCCGTGCTGGCAATATTTATCTATAAATTTTTTAAGATTTTTTCCTTGTGTAGTTATTAAGAGCTCTTATTGATTATACCAGGTCAGCCAGTAGGTGAGACTGAGTGTGTAAACACAGCAATCTCCCTACTCCTAACAGTGACATCAGAGACATCTATGTCCGTCCATGTTCTGACATGGCTCCAGAAACCCTTTTCAGTGCTTTGCAGTGCAAAAATATGATCCCTTTCTATTTCTTTCTGTAAATACCTATAAAATATTTTAAATCTGTATCTCTTTCCTCAGAGCATACAAACAATTGTGAACCAATAAATGTTCAATACAGATCTTATGAAGTATTGTACTTTGCAGTCAGACATTCTAGTTAAATTTAGTTAATGAAGAGTCTTTTCAATGATACAAATCTCTTTTTTACACTCCATTTTATCACTGAAAGATAAATAAAGAAGTGTCTTTATTCTTCAAACAAGGAGAGATATTTTCTTATTTATTTATTTATACTGTAGAAATCCTAAGCTTTTCCAAAAGGATTTGTTGTTCTGCTTTTGTAAAAACTTGAACAATGGCAGCAAGCAATTAATCATGTCATTACTGTACACTTTGCTCTGTGAGCAGCTCTTCCTTTGCAGTACTTCCTCCTGCTCCTTCAGTCAGCCTGAAGTGTTTCTGTTGGGGTGTGCACACAGGGGCTGTGCCAGAGTCACAGCCACACCATGCTTGGTCCTAGACTAATGTGAAGTCCTTCCCTACTCTGGAAACACCCTGTACATTCATACCTGGATCATTTCCATTGTTATCTGCTCACAAAGGCAGTTATTCTAAATAAATTATGTTACAGAAACTTAATGAGATATGTTGTCCTAATATTTGTGTTGCAGCTTCAGGAAAAGACAGCTGGATCAAGGATGCACACCATACACAGCTTCTGTCCATGATAGACTCT